CCGCAGTTGTGTAATTAGTAAAATAGTTCTTTGGGCAGCGAATACCAAGATCGCCTAGGCCACCGGCGTGAAATCCCAAGGCAGTGACGTAACTGGAGTACTCACGGACTAGGACAGCTATGCGAGGTCGCTCGACCCCAAGTTGCATACCTGGTGGACCACGACAACATCTAATTTTTATGCGTTTTTGCATATATGCAAATGCAAAAACGTATAAAAAATTAGACAAGAGGCAGTCTGTGTGCTCGCCTTTCTTGTTACCCACTTTCAACTCGAGAACTAGAAATGCTAGAAGGCTGAAACTTCGGGAGTATGTGCCTACACCATTTGCTATCTTCTGTTTAAATATCATCAACCACGCACGCCCGGGTGCCGCGTACGAAGACCTCAAAAAATATGCAAGTTTTCTGGCGAAAAAGCCATCTCAGCAACCAGAAAGGATAGGGAGCTGACACTCTGTAGGAGCATTCTCTGTGCATGTGTAAGCTAAAGGTGTGAAATTCAGTCCCCAGGTATTCGCGATTTTCACGCACAGGCACGTGAAAAATTTGGTGGGAAAATTGCTAACTCGATAACCAGAAAAGCTGGGAGCAGGGGGGTTAAAATTTTGGAGGAATATTCCCTATCCAAATACAATTTAAATATTTCAAATTTAACCCCCAGGTATGTATGACACTCGCGTACGGGCGCTTAAAGTTTTGGCTCTCACCGAACAACTAGGTCAATTTCAATAAACGACCCTTAAACGGAAATTGTTCAGTTCCCCTTTGCAAAATCAACGATGACTTATGCTAGTGAGCGCAAAAGGTGTAAAGCAGCAATCATTCATGCAGTTAACGACCGAAGTACTTTAAGTCCGGTGCAAAAATATGATATATTAAACCCAGGCTGGAAGGGTTAGCCGGTACGATCGTACCTGCACACCTGGGTTTAATATATCATATTCATTAATGTATATCATAATATCTCCGGTTGGTACCTAAAGGCTGTTTATAGTGATGGATGCTTACTCTAATACCTAAAGCAACCGTCGTTTCATTCAAGCTTACCTTTACGTTATCAAAACAGCTTTATTAACTTCCGGAGTTATCATGGTCTAGAGTACTGACTGTTGTTAACAAAATAGAAAAATTTAATAAAAGACATACTTTTTAAATTTTCGTCCGCCCCTGCACAAAGTTGATAGAATATGTGAAAATTGCGTTCTCCTTGATTTTGGTGAACCACCCGGGATTTCTCGAGCAAAAAATTGGAAACCTAAAAAATAGTCAAAAAATGAACTGTTCATTGCATCTGACATCACAAGATTATCAATACAAAAAGTTTGAAAACCTGCCTTTCCTCCAATG